AAAAAAATATATATATAAAAATAAGGAGAGGCAGAAACGGAAATTAAAATATTTCCGGTTTTCTGAAGAGTTTTTTTTGGAGAGCGAAAAAAAACAGGAAAGGCTTCCTACAACTGGCAGAAAATCCAACTGACTTGGGCCTTTGTTAATGCTAATTAAAGTTGAATTTTTCTTAGAGGCAAATTGGTGGAAGTTCAAGAGCCTTTGGTTGACCATAAAAATTTATGTAGTGTAAAGAAAGGGCTTTTGTAGGTATAAAAGGAAAAAATGGAATTAAACTTGTCTCTAAATTCAATAAAATTATATTTAAAGAGTTAATTTGTATATTCTTAAAAAGGTGTTAGAGGCTTTAAAAATTTAGTACAAGAAAACAATAAAGGATGCTGTTTGAGGCACCATTGTCACTTGTTTTTCTTTATTTTTATATTTAAATTGTATTTTTTTTAAAGCCTTAAGTTTCTCTCTCCTATTTAATTCCTATTTATCTCTTGCCTTTATTGATGACTTCTGATCTAAAATTTAGCATTATGGATGATGGCTTTCTGGCTCTTGTCATTGCATATAAATGCCTGATAAATAGTTGCCGCCGTTTTAGGGGGCATGGCCATGCGCCGTAAAATTGCAACAACGCTGCGTATACGCAACGTCCCGAAGCGCAGATGGGTGAAGACACCCAGACACAAGTTGGCCAAGAAAGTTATGACAAGGATTTATGAAGTATGCATTAAAAATGAGCAGCTATTTGCCGTTTTGCTTAAAGTTGCTTAAAGCTTTAAGCCGGGGAAAAAAGTATAATAAAAAAGACTGGAAAAAGGGTCGCAAAAATCTCAGCCAGCTTCGCCTTGAAGACGTTTGCCATTCCCACGCGGATCGGATGGTAGAGAAACAGCAAGAGAAACATTGTCGTGTGTGCATATGTCTGTCTGTCTGTCTGTTGCTTGTTTGTTTGCCGCTTGTTGTTTGTCCCGTTTTGTTTGCATACAAATTCTTCAGACGACAGCCGGAGATGCCGCCACATGTGTTTGCAGAGGCAACAGGCAACCTGCGCACAAGGAGTTGAGTTGAGTTGTCTCCCGGGCTGGATCGGGTGGGTCTCCCAGCGGAGTGTTCCTGCTACGTGCTGCCACCTTAACTGTGCATATAAAAATTCGCATATAAATCAGCGACACAGTCGCCCTTTTCCTTATCCTCCATGCAGTGTCTGTGTGCCATCTGTAAACATATCGTTATTTATCCATTTACCCCGTTCCACGTGACGGCTTTTAGTGTAACAATATGTGGGTTTTCCCTGGCTTGCACAGGATGCGAGTTAATAGGAGCACATGATGTGGTGGTTGTGGTGGTCCCAGAACGGAGACTGACACTGACTGGTCGAAAGTCAATCAGTTTCTAAGGAATTGTTTGAATTACACAGAGGGGACAGCCAACGGGATATTACGTTCTAAGGCGACAACTGGTAGGGACTAGGTTAAAGCAGTGGATTTTATATAAAAATTCAAAGATAGTTTTAGGTTTTATAATATTTAAATATAGTCTTGCTTATATTTTAAAAATGTTTGTAAAAGATTAAAAAATATTTCGAAATATAACATATTTTCCCAATTTTATTTTCTTTAAATTCCTTATTTTATTTTGTTAACAGAGTAAAGCTTGGGAATTACCAGTATCCAAGTTCCCGCTTATATATGCACCCCATTTTTTTTATTGTATTTAATATTCCCCTCCAACGACTAAATGCATTTTCCTATTTATAAGCAGCTTCCGTTTTGCACGTTTCCCCACCTGATGACAGCTTCCACTTGGCCCAGTAACCTGTCCCATTTAAGCCATTCTCGAAACTATTATAAAGACACTCTCTTTTTTTTTGGCGCACTTCACATGAATATAAATGCAGTGCTTCGCCCGCATTTACTGCTTATTTTTCCAGCTCTCATTATCTGTATTTTTATATACACACACACCCACAAAACACATGATGAGCTCGATTTTCTTTTCATTTTCGTAATAGCGCTCTGACAATTTTCATGCGAACTGGCAACAATTTTTCACCGTCAGGCGGCTGCGGCAGCAAATCCGACGACGAAGGATGCAGGGACCTTATGCAAGGATCCGCAGCAAGGGCAGGAACTTGAGAGCAGGAAACAGGAAGAGCAGCGTATCCCCAGCATCTCTGGCTTTCCACCATCCTCTTCTGGCTACGTGACGTCTTTCTCTCGAGACGTCACAAGATTTATTGTATGCAGGTTATGTATGCTTTGCCAGGGTGTAAATATGCAAATCGGTTTCTTTTTTCTTTCTTTCTTTTTTTTTTTGTGGCACTCTGACGACTTTTTCACAGCAACTGAAATGTGCTTAAAATTTGCAAAATTGTAGTTCATTTTTATATGCTGTCGAATTTTGTGCTTTCCCCCTTTTCACCTTGGCAATTGTCCTGGGGCCACAGGATGGCAGCTGCACACGGAATACCAACAGGGTTTTTTCCCCCTACGACTTAGTTTGATTTGGCTCGGCCAGATTTCCCTCAACTACACTCGACGAGGGGGAGTCCCCGGAATGCATCCATTTCTCATTGTACTCCTCCTGTTGTAGCTTCTGTTTGTCTTTCGGTTTGTTTTTCCACTCCTAACAAGGCTTTGAGTGCCATTTTCTGGTTTGACTTTTGGTTTATGGTCGAGCACCATTTTCAGGTTCATAAAAACGAGGCTGTTAAAAAGGAACAAGGAGCCTTCTTTTTAGGCCTCTTTATCCTTAATACTCTTTGTCTTTTTTTTGGGTGGACAACCTTAGTTTTTTTTCAGGGATTTTCAGGTTACTTAAAGGTGTTAAAAAATATACTATGCATGGGTTTATTTAGTTTTCACTTCCATAGTGATTTTTCTGCTTGTTATAGTTCTCGTTAAAGGAAAAAATAAGTTCCGTTTTAGTACTCTCTTAATCCAATTAATTAAATTGAAAGAAATTCGAAAAATAAATTAAATCAATAAGAAATCATTAAATCCAGCAAGGTAAGTGCATTTTTATGTTCAACTCTTCCCTCTTTAATCTTCACAGGTATTTCTTACGAATTAAAACCTTTTATGGCCATCCGTGGCCGTGTCCCACTTAATTGAAAATTAAAAAGGTTGCACATAAAAAATTAAAATTAATTTCGTGCCGTTTGGCCAAAATCAATTTGACCCTATTTTTCAGGCAGAAAGAGTTAGGGGCTTTGGGCCTAACTCCTATTTAATTCGAGTCCTGAAATCCTCATTTAAGCAGGCTCGCTTTTAAAAATGCATACTAGGCCTCACTCCGCTCTTTTGTGGCCGGGAATCTTTCCAACTTTTTATGCTGGGACAGCGCTGAACTTGAACGTGGCAACAAGGGGGAAAATCCCAGGGGGGAGGGCATGTAAAATGGCCAGCGAAAATTGCAGCTGCCAAGCAAACACATGGAAAAACCACAGCAGCCACTTCCGCGAGTGCCAGTGCCGGGGAAGCCCCGGGATTCCGCAGCCTGCCCGCCTTCCTTCCTTCCCTCATGATGATGCCTCATTTGGCGGCTCGTTGTGGCACAGAGCGTCAGAAAAAAAACAATAAATAATTGGGAGATTCGACTAGAGGATACTCTCTGTTTTAAGATATTTAACAACATTTTAATTAGCTTTAAAAATATAAAATAAAATAATTAAGAAAGGTTTTACTCGACATTTCTAAAAGTAATCTTGTTAGTCTACAATGTACAAGAAATAAAAGAGTCTTAATCTTTGAGATATATTTTGAGTTTTTTTTTATATAAACCTTAAAAAAATACCCCTGGTAAGTATAATATAATTTTTGATAATATCCCAAGAATTTTATTTATATTAATTATTTAAAACTTATAAATTAATATTTTTCCAGCACAGCTTGTTCATAGACCAGTAATTCCCCTTAATTTTCCTGACTGAAACAACAACGGCAGAGTTAGCAAAAATGTTTAAACAGCTGGTAAAAGACAAAGGACAAAAAGGACATGGCCACATACACACTAACACACTCAAATACCCATATATGGGGCTGGGGGTAAACGTGAAACGCGAACAAACCGTCGGGAACACAAAATCTGACGCCTAAACGCAGCTTAGCGATTAAAGCGCTTTTCAAATTTTGCCTCTGGGGGATTTTTAAGCGAGCCAAGCTGGCTAACATTTTGTTATTCCGCTCTCTCCCACCACCACCACCACCACCGTCCGCCCGTCCTGGCCATGTTTGCTTTGGCTTGAAGCGCACTTGGGGCCATGCGAGGAGTAGTGTTAATTTCCCTATAAACTGCAGCGACAAGTTTATTTTCGGTTCGTTGTTTTCGCTTCTACCACTACTGCATGCTTTGAGGCGTCTCTGCGGTTTGTGATGGCCAATTCCCTCTTCTTTGGGAATAGCAAAAGAGCAGATACAAGTAGATGGAAAATAGAGCATGAGAGTAAACTAATTGAGGTGTCAAAGAGTTTATAATTTATTTAGTTTAAATATATTTATTCGGCGTAGAAAGGGGAAAAGTTAAGTGCTTAAATTTAATTCTTCTTCCCTTGTTTTTGTTCAACATTCAATTTGTGATTTTTTTCGTCAAACCTGAAGGAAATTTTCAATATTCTTTCTCAGCTATGAACAGAAAACTAACTAGAAAAAAATTGCTCAGAAGTTGTAAATTCCTTGCCCCTCAAACCGAAAGGATGTCACAGTCACAGCTTGCGACACATAGCCAATGTTGTTGCTAAATTGTTAAATAAATCAAAATCCGGAATCACAGAGAGAGAGAGAGAACCTCAAGCCGAAATGGCGCGACAAGTGCCAATTGCAAGGACATCCCCAGGATCGGATAGGAGGAGGCAATGACTGTTATTGATGTGCTTTTAATTGAGGCTTGTGTGTGTGTCTGTCAGTGTCTGAAATATGGAATGTGTGTGTCATCCTGTTGCCTGTCCAATCACTTGGCTCATAACGGAATTTTATTAGTTTTTTCCCCCAGAATTCAACACTTACCGGCGACAGTAGCCAACGACGTGTGGGCCATGCAAATGGTCAGGACCAAAACTGTCAGGAGGCTGATGGGGTCCCACCTCCGACGGCCCCGTCTCTGCTGGTTATTATTGCATTTTTTCCTGGACATCTGCAGCAAGTCTGTGCTCAGCTGGGAGTTCTCTGAATGCTTTTCTGAATGCTTCCCTGTTCTGTGCATTTCTGTAGCTGAAAATAGGAAATGGAAAGCGGAAAATTAGCCATAAAAGTACTGTTGGGAAAAATCTTTAAGTTTTTATTGATTTCCTTTCTTCTAATTTATGCGCAAAGTCTGCTACATCAGCCGAAAAAAAACTTTGAAAATTAAAAAATATGTCACGGAAAAAGTTTGAGCAAGAAAAGCGAGTAAAAGGAAAGGGTTCAAGAGGGTCAAGGCGAGCTGTAACTAAAAGTAATAATTGAAAAAAAAAATCTGGAAAATTCTGTTGAAAAATACTTAAAGACACACTGTTTTTTTTTAAATGCAAATTTAATAAAATTATTACGTGTTGGGTGTGATATACATATATATTAAGCCATATTTTAACCTAGCTTCTCTTTGCTTTTAAATTATAATAAATTAAGTGTTTTCAAACAAAACAAAAATTATCCAAAAATAAAGCACGAAGAGACAATTAATTTAAATGATTCAAGCTTCAGCCAGTCGAAACCAAAATAATTTGCATTTATTAAGTTTTCGCAAGCGAATGAATACACGTTCGTTCTCCCAAACACAATAAAGATGTTAAGCATTTTGTGTTAAGTGATTTATGTCAAATATGCCATGAATATTTCATGTCAACATAATTTGGTTAACGGTTAACATATTATTGGTAGTAACGCGGGGAATGCGAGATGCTTAATTCGATAAAGCGCCAGCTTTCGATCGCATAAAATTACCTCTTGTCGTCTGACAAGGGGCGGGTTCTTTATGTAAATTCACAAATTGTCCAGTTGAAAGATAGTTATACATATATATAATAAAGCTATTAGCAGACGGATGAAACTGTAAAACGAATAGAACAATGCAAAATATTGTACAATTTGAGGCAAATTAAACATTAATTAGTGTGGCGTGTGCATAAAAGTTAATTAATGATTTTTTACGCCCTAGGTGTTAATAATTAATGAGCATGAGTAGCGTTTTTGCTATCTCTTCTCTCTCCTCCCTGCTGTGTCTGGGGCTGGGTTGTTGATTTACAGATAATTAAGCGGATTGCAAATAATATGCACAATAAATAAATAAATAATCAATCAGTTGGCGGGCATCAGTATGTGGGAATATTTTTTAAATATTTGTGGAGCACTATTTTTTCTGAAAAATCTATAAAAGTAAATCTCCCTTTAATGTAGATCACAGTTTCCTTGATTTTTAGGTGTCAGTTGGATTTATATGTATATTTATTTAATTTCTCAGTTCAGCTTGTCTCGGGTTACATAACAGTTCCCTTTCTTCCAAAATTGGTATTTATTTTTTTTTATTTTATTTTCTTTTTTTCAAAAAGTAATAAAAAAATAGAGTAAATAACTAAATATGTCTAATAACTATGGTAAGTTATGGTAATACATTCCCCCAATAGTATAGAAAATGGTTTGTTTTTTTCTAGGACCTGGACCTGGCGCTTATATGCTGCCCAGCAGCTTTGGTCAAAAAGGACCACAGTACTCTTTTGGCCAAAGGACTGGCCGTAACAGGCACGAGAAAGTTGGTCCTGGACCGGCAGCCTACCGAATTGATAAGGTAACCCGATTCGGCAAGTCAGAGGGCCTGCAGTTCTCCATGTTGGACAGGAGTCCCCTCAAGAAACACATACCCATCAAGTTTCATTGATGTTAAACTCAAAAATTCCCTTAAATGTTGGTAATCAGGATCTTGAAGGGATATCTAGAGATTTAGATTATTTTGTGAGATTCTGCATGCGCCCAAGTGACTGTCAAATAAATTAAAGCAGACTTAGAATGAAGAGATTAACCCTTTGTCGAAAGATACACTGATTTGTTGTAATGAATCTCTTCTTGCATTGACACACAATTTACCTCTGAATGGATGCCATGGAAACTGGGAATAACTCATCGCTGTTTCCCTTTGGCTCTGCAATTAATTCGATGACGCATTCAAATGCACATATCGATGGCAGGAGGTGGGAATAATCATGGACTTTGTGGTGTGTCGAGTATTGATACACAATGCGGCGACAACCACTTGTTGGCCCTGCAGAAAGCCTTTTTGGCTCAGGAAGGACGTCCTCCATATCGAGGGCTTAGAGAGGGCTCTTCAGTGGGCTTTGTGAATGCAGGACTGGACTGGAGTACGTGGCTCTGTAATGAAGCCGCCGGTGGCGAGCAGCAGCTCTCTTAAGTAACTCACTTCGTTGACCCAAGGAGGAGCAGCAGCAACAGCTTCTGGCATCTCTAAGCGAAAGCCTGTTATTTTCCCCGCTGCTTGTAATAATCACACAGTAAACAGGCACTGGTCAGCAGACGCGACTCGGGAATGGAATGAGAATGGGGTACACAGAGGAAAAATGTACTTAAATTTTACACTTTTCACAAAATAAGAGTAAGAGATTTTTTTATTTCTGGCTAAAAAAAACTTCTAAGAGCATAGATTGCATCTCAAACAAATCTTAAGAATTAAACTAATATAATAAACAAATAAACTTCTTAACAGGAATTAATAAAAAAAAAAGAAATGAAAAACTAAATTTGGAAAGCAGCATCAAGAATATATATGGTTTATGGGGTCACTTCTAGGGTATCTTCTTCTTTTATATATTTACTTTTATTTATTTCTTGGTGCTCTTCTTTTTCCCCAGTGCCCTGGACTTCATCGTGAGAATGGGCAACAGAAAACCAAAGAAAGGAAAGGGCTTTGGACTAACTGAGACTGCCATCCAGGGATCCCTTGGCCCTTTCCACCACCCCCTCCCCGGGTTCAGTTGTAATTGCAACGTCAACGTAAATGCAAGGCACTGGGCACAAGGCACTGGCAGTGGCGACTCAGGAATTTCACGGATGTGCGATGTGCGTGCATTTTGCAGATGCCCTCAGTCCAAGTCCCAGTCCCAGTCCCCATCCCTGCTCTGCCCTCCCCTCTATTCCCGCGCAGACTGACCACTGAGCTGGACATCACGTATTCGCACAGACACACAGGAAGGAACGCGGGCATTTGATTGCATTTTCGCTGCAGGATTGGGTGGAGTTTTTGGAGGAGCAAGGCAGGGAAACTTGGGGAACTTCGGGAACACTGCCCCTTTTTCCGCCCGAAGATTTATCTGTGCGCGTTTATTTTAATGTTACGTTCTGGCATCTTTGCTCATTTTTGCCTCTCTGGCTTCGGTTTTGTACTCTTTTTTGGGAAAGGTATCTTGACTTTTTTTTTTTGAAATTTCAGGTCTATATTGTATAATCAAAACAATCCTTTAGTAATAAATAATATTGCTTTGTTATATATTTTTAAAATAATTTCCTAATCCATGGCTTACAAGAAATATCATAAGCTAACCATCCAAAGCTAAGCATCCACAAATTAAATATCTTTAAAGTACCCTTTAATATGTATTCATATATTTTTTAAACACTAATAAATCCAAATTTCAAAGAGCTTCCTTCCATCTAATCACCGCCAGAGTAATGTAGAGTAATGGCCGACATCTTGTTTTGTTCATGCCTTGGTTAAGCAGCCTCTTTCAATGCATTGGCCACTGGGATGTCTTTGTCTTTATGGAGCCGTAGCCAGGCTCCGTAGCCACATCATCATCTCGGGCATCCTCGTCCTCATCCCCATTCCCACTGCCATCCTGCATCCTCGATGGCGTGCCATTCCTTAACGTGGTACGTTGACCGCTCGGAATGTTGATTCATCTTCTTCTGGGTTATAACTGCTGCCTGCTCCTCTTCTTTTCTTTAACAACTCCACTTGCTCTTTTATGTCAATCAGCAGCTTGGCATGCTCGGCCAGGCTCCATCTCCAGCTCCTTGGCTGCCATCTCCTCGTTTATGGGCCATCATCGTCATCGTCATCGCGTTGGCTGCATTGGCTGCATCTATTTTTAGTGGTGCTCGTGCTCTATTCTATTCCTGACTCGTTCAGTATGTTAGATCCCCATGTTGGGCTCTCTCTCTCTCTCTATTATCCCCATAATAAGCGAAAATTGCCCTTAAGTGGCCAGCGTATAATGCATTCCCTTTATTTTTAGCACGATCTTGGGCTGTCGTCGGGTCTGTCTGCTTGGCCAGTTACATGAATAATTGCCAGTTAGGTTCGCAGCTCCGCATGATCGGAGTGGATAATTGTAAATGGGCATAGAACTTAATTGCATTTAAATGCAGGGGCGGGTGTGGCCACTGCTAGTGCTACTGCCACTGAAATGTAGCCTAAGAAATTCTAAATAAAATTCTGGGAAAGCATATTTTAAATATAAATTGTAAAAATCGAGGTTTTACCAATTTCTTTTTTTTGTCATTTTAAGCCTTAAGTTAATTCTTTTTAAATTTCAACTTTTGGATACATTTATTATTTATGTAAAAAATATATCATAATCAATATCATTACTTCCAAGTACTCCCATGCAAACCCATGCAAAAACCTTAAACGATTTCCCAAACCCTTCTCATCTATCAAGGTATTTTGTCGGCCAACTGCCATTAGCAATTCAGGCAATCAATGAAACCTTTTCGGCAAAACCACAAAACATATATATTCGTAACAAAAGCTATACATTGTGGGTAATGTTAATTTGACAGCCGTCGGCAATTGGTTTCCATCGAACTGACAAACACACGCAGGCTGATTGAAGGGTCATCGCAGGGTTGAATAGGAGGAAGTCGAGGAAGTCGCCGAGCTGACCTCACACGCACTCATTGGCTTTATTTATTCTATTTCCGATTTTAATTGATAATACGGGGCAGCTGAGCAGGTTATTGCTGATTCGAATTGCTGTTGTCTTTTGTGTGTAACCTCCCCTTGATTAGCCATAATCGACCCTGTTCCATGCACGTGACTTGTTTAAGTGATTGCTAAAAAATATTTTTCGCTTATTTAATGTGTTTGTGTATTTTGCCAAAATTGGGGAAATTGTCCGCCTATATAGTATATATCTAATTCGAATAAAACTATTTATTTGTTATGCTTTTAATTTCAGGGCTGACCCAATTTTTTTTGCCAGAAACAGAAACATCGAGAGCCCCGATAATTGAGTTTATTTTCGCAATATTCGCTTGGCCATAACATTTGGTGGTTACCTTAACTCTACTCAGCCAAAATAATAACCATAAAGCCCCTGCTGTAAGTCATCGGCTGTCCAGCTTAAACTAAGCCATCGCATCAAAACTTTTCAAGAATTTAAGACCCATTTAATGTGAGTCAAAAAGTCAATAAACCCAAGCGCGCGTCTTCGCCTTCCTGCTGTTCAGCAAAAAAAAATATATATATAAAGAAAAAAAAAAGAAAAAGCCAAAAACAAGATGAGAAAACAAAAGTGGAGCAACAAAAACCTGTCACGTACAACAAAAGTGCATTCACATTTTGAAAGTCAAAGCGGGATGGCGAACTTTTAATGTATCATCGTCGATGGGGAGCAGCATCCCTGTTGCGTCGACAGATACACTCTGGGAAAAGGTAAAAATTTCTAGATTACATCGGTTTTTGAAATCCAATTTGTATCTCTATATGTACTTTAAAAATACTTTAATTATAATTGAAAAAAATTAAATTGCTTAAATATTTTAAACGTTAGGTTTTTCGATATTTTAAGATCAATATATTACTATATTTTTAAAATGACATTTAGCAGGGTATTTTTTAAAGGTATTAAATCGAACCTTTCTTCTCGATGTACTTTGCTAATCAGCATAGGAAACCTTGAACCTCTCTTTATTTATATTAAAAAAAATAGACGATATCCCACCTAAGATCGACTGCCAATTTAACTCCAGTGTATAGATACATTTCTATCTTAAAGCTGTATGCCCGCAACAACTTTCCTTGTTGGCCAAAGACAAATTCAGTCAATTACTTCATTATGCGTTGAGGTTTTTGGGTTCGTCTGGCTGCCTCCAGTCTTGTGTTCCCTACCTCCAACCTCCTGTCTCCCTCTCTGAATTGAATTCCGTCTCCTTGGGGAGGTGGAGGAAGCCAGCAAGGAAAAGGTCCTTTCTCGGCTGTCTGCCTGCTGTCGTCTGTCATCAGGTGAAAGGCAAATAAAACGTCAATTTGTATCGCCAGTTGTGTCCTTTTCTTATTATTCATATGCATATTACACACATTCGGAATTTATTCATGCCTTCGCCCGCCGCCCCCCTGGCAACCTTTTTATGTCAATAATCATTTACATGTTTATCTAATTTGGCCGGGATTTTTCGTCCGTCTCTGTCTCTGTCGCAGTTTCAACTTGAACTTGGAGTGAAATTCACTTATTGCCACGCAAAAGTGGGCCACGACACAGATATATACACCGATCTCTCAGATACAAATCGTTTCCTCTGCCAATAAAAAACAACAAAAAACGAGTTGGTGCAGGGGGAAGTTGTAAAGCGGCCGAAAAAAAAAGAAATATTAAAACCGAGCCAATGCCAATGAAACGAGCAACTTTGTCGGTGTGTTGGCCGCCTGTCATCGCAAGTGTTGTGGCAGCAATTATTGCTGTTTCCGTATGCGAATTTTCATTTTGACAGGCCCGAAAGGCACACAGAAACTGCACGTCGCATAGAGGATATATCCTGAATTATTCTTGGTTCGCTGACTGCACACACTGCCTGAAATCGATAAAGTTTCGTAGGGGAAACACTGACTCATAAATACATAGAAACAAGGGAGATATTAATGGAGACTTTGTAAATAAAAACTGGGACATTTTCTTGTGACTATATAACTTTTAAGATTATATAGGCTTATAAAACAGATTAATATTTTAAATAAATCAAAAGCAACCTTTAAATTTTGTAGATAATAAATACATATATGAAAAATTTAGTCTTAACAGAACCTAATTCTAAAATTCTTTCACCCCCAACTAGTGTATATTTAGTATATATTTTATTTAATCAGATACAGTGCCTCCAAATGAAGAACTCAACTAACCCAAGTAACTACCCTTTTATCCGAAGACAATAACTCTATCGCGGGCAGCGCGTGTGTCTGTGTCAGCGCCACGTTACGTTCTTGACATTTTGTTTAAAATGTTTGCTCTGCATTTTGGCGACTAGCCGCAGCTCCGGTTCAGCTTTCAGCTTCGACGGGTTCTAATAGCCACGAAGAAGGGCTGCCAGCGAAATCCGTGGGTCGTTCACCGGGAAATGCCTTTCGGGGCGGACTGTCTAAACGCCTTTGAATTTTGCGCTGATTTGACACAAAAATTTGACGTAAAGTAGTTGACGCTCAGCCGCTTTGTAGTCAAAATGCAAATTGTGCATGAATATTTACCCCCCCTTCCGCTGAGAAAAGGTTTTTGTTTACGCTTGTTTTGCTATAACTACAATTTGGGGAATACACTTGGGGGGGGGGTAGAGGTAAAGTTTTCCGGCTCCTTTGGGTATTTTCTGTTATAAATTTCGTATCCAGCAGATACTTACAACAGTTTTGTGGCACTTTGCCTACATGTGGATGCCATGGCAACAGGAACACACTCCAAGAGGGGCAGAGTGTGGGTAAAAAGGCCACCGAAAATCAACAACTTGTATTGCAGAGAGCTCGCCTTACTTGGCCAGAAGTTTTAGGCAGGGAAAACTTTACTGCAAGTAATGATTGTCAAAAGAATTCGATACAAGGAAGGACTTTTAACTTACAGACCAAAAATTGTTGCCCTCAAAATAGTTGATTAATTTGTTTGTTATTGATAATAATAAGTAAGAAAAGCTTATGGCTTTTAACTAGTTTAACTTTTAAATTCCGGCAGTACGCCTTAGAGGAAAGAGCTATTATTTGTAAACAAATCTTTCAAATTTTCTTTAAAAATAAACTAAAAATGCTTCCGTAACTATCCAACTTTTTCTGAACAGCCTTTCCCACACCTGACGCTGGAATCCACACAGATCTATCTTATTATATCTTATTACACATCCTCCTTTCCCCCATATAACTCACTTCTTGCCCTGACATTGATTAACCAAAATATCACGCCTGGGCGCTAATTGAACATTTAGCTTAATGGGAAAACATAAATTGCCGAATATGTTTAGCACAAGGCGAAGCCCTCATAAAGTCGAGACGAAACCAGGTTCCTCCAGAGCCGCCCGGTGTTATTTGTGTTTTTATAGTGCCAGTGATTAATGCTCGCAATAAATAGTATAGGCCAGCACAGAGAACTGCAAAAAAAAAAAAACCCGAATCTATATACGGATGAGTCAAGTGGGGCTGGACAAACACACAGCCGATCGATATTCAATATCATTTCATTTCACAATGAGGCCGCAACATGCAAAATCATTTTTAAGCGCATTTCGGAATTGTTGAGGGCACCCGGCTGGGCTTTTTAAATATTTTGAAAATTAATTAAAACTACACGTACGTGGCGAAGGCTGCCCGGGGCGCCTTTTATTGGAATATTTCTGTTCAATGGCGGCCACAAAACACAGTCACGTGTGATTAGATGCGCATTTTTCGGCCAGAGATGATCTAAGCTGACAAAATTTCCAAAAATAATAAAGTATGCCCCATCTTATTCTGGTCGATGTTATTATTATGATTTTCGTTTGAGCAGAAATATGGGTAAACAGGTTCCAACAGAAACAATATAAACAAAGCCACGGCTCGAGTCACTTGTGAATATGTTTACGAATTTCAAGCGAAACGAAATGAATCTTTTGTAAGAGTTGCAGAATTTTTTTCATCTGCTACTAAGGGTTTCCCGCCAGACTCTCTCTTCAAAGAAAAAAAATAATATTCAAGATGCGTCAGCCACAAAATACTTCAAGTGGCGACCGGAAATTGGATGGTTAAGTCATCAGCGAAACAATAATAACTTAGTTTCGCTAATTGTTTACCTTGTTGAGTGGCAGCTTGTTTCAAAATGGCACTTTTAATATGCGTTAAATATATATAACAACAGTAAGGCAAGCCAATAAGGTAATAAATTAAATGTTTTTGAAGTTATTCATTGAATTTATGTTTGTTTTCTTTTCATTAAAAGTTTTGTATTTATTTATTTATACTTTGCTGGGCCCGGCAGTGACCAAAAAAAAAAATTTTATATATATTTCACCTTTATTGGGTTTAAGCAAACATATTCATGAAGTTCAAGTGAATCAAGCAGTTGGGGTTTTTTGTCAAAGTCAGAAGTGACGTAGGGAAAAAAATTTAATACGAATACGAATAGGGGGCGGTCGTTTCCTGGTAACCAATGTGCAACAAATTAATTGATTTAATATTTAGTGAGCGAAAAAATGGCCGAGAGCGAATCAATTTTTCGCCTATTTATTCATGGGGATTAAATGCTCATAACTCGTTTATGTTTTCACTTTTTATGAGATGAGCAATTAAAGGAAAATTACATGTGAGCAGCTAAAGCTAATTTCTGCAGGTTTTACTGCTGTACATACTCTGCTTTTTTTTGTTTTTTAAGCCACTCTACGTAAGAGGTCTGGGCTTCGGTTTCGGTTTTGGTTTTCAAAAGTGCCCATTACTTAGCCATGCAGACGGTGTTGCCGTAGCCACGCAATTTGTGCAAAAAGCTGGAAGCGACTGACAACGACGACCAATTCAAATTCAACTCATCTGGCATTTCATTCATAAAAATTCACAAATATATTTATTTTTGAAGATGTGTACGAGTTGGATTTTGGCTTCAATTTTATCGCTCGTCTGCACTACTTTAAATGGGTCCACGTGCCGGGTTCGTGGGCGCGGAGTGGCGCGGAGTGGCGCGGCGCTGCCCGGCTGTCGAGGGTTAAGCGTTGTTAAAATGCGTTTAATGATTTTTTGCATTTAGCCACTTTGGCTCTGTGGTCTTTGCTTTGTCTTGGCCGCTTTTGCAAGCCATTTTTGCACTGCTGTGTTTGATTTGTTTGGCTCGCCTGCCTTTTACTTGCCACCTTCTTTATTTATTATGAATATTTTCTGTTTGTTTTTCAGTCTAAACTGGCCAGCAGGAAGTTCCAGCCATAAGCGGGGGTTCTCAGAGAAATATATTTGATATATATTCTTGGCAATACACTAGGAAATATATCTAACTTAAAACAGACAACGTTAAATAAATATAAATCAACTGAAATAAACAAACTTAATAGATACATTAAAGCTCTTCGGGTAGAACGTCAAGAGTGACCTCATTTCAGGCCATAAGGTATAAATCATACTCCAAATTCATTATATTTTGCTGTGAGGCGTTTGGCACACGTGAAAGATATATACTGTCGCGTTGAGGCGAGAAAACACATCGCTGAACTATCATCAACACGCGACATTGTCCGAGCATATTGCTTAATCTCACGTAACAGAAATTATTCTATAATAATTCTCGGAGCTACGCGGTCGGACAAAAGATTTCGCATGCATTTAGATGTCTGATTTATATTTATTTGTGTGTATATGCTATATGCCACTTGAGCAACTCATCTAAATGGGCCATCCTTAACCTTGAACCTCGGACAAACGCGGACAGAGTTAATAATTTAAATCAACTAATTGCGGCGCCTGACAAGCTGCGAAAATTTTCTATAACCGCGAAGAGGCTTCGCTTAATTTGCAAAGAATCCCCAATGAATGTGCCAAAAATTGAGGAAAAAGATTTCAGATTTCAATACAATAGCTGTCGGAATTAACACGCCATTATAGAGAAGCTGTCAAAAGGAAAAAAAAAAAGAGGAGAAAAACCCACAAGAAAAGTTCACAAGCCACGGCTAAAAAGGCAGACACGCGTGGCTCGCCATTTGTTTATTGTTGATTTAGTTGTTGCATCTGTATATAGTAGTTGGATATAGCCCGGCAACAATGCCATTAAGCTTAATGTTTATTATCTATACAACAAGCCTACATGGAAACATGAAACAACGAACGGTCGGTCGGGAAAAAATTGTGACAAGTAAGTAGCAATGAACCTTGTAAGGTCTGGGCTGCTGTGCCGCCGAATGGCATTATTCCATCTGCCCCACACATCGTTGCTATATAGCAATGGCAACGGCAACGACAACGGCAACGGCAGGCGGCAAGTCTCATAAATTTTGAATACATTTCAAACACTTGTAATCGTAAAAATCAGCATTTAGACGACACTCAAAAATGCAGACAGTTTTTTCTTATATTTTTATAGACACGACACATAACACACTGAAATAAAGAGCAAAATGTGATAATAGACGAGCTTCCAAGAGCTTGTCAGGTGTAGATATATATATATCGAACAGGTAACTGAACTATGTTTACAAAGCGAAACAATCTCGGAGGGAGACACTACTTTGAAACACCTTTTAAAGACCAATTAACCAGAAGTATTGTGTAAACAGATACTTCAAAGGAACCAGTGGTGATTATAGGTGGAGTGTTTCATACAAGACTATTTTATTATAAGTATGTTTTTATTTAAAACAATCTTTTCTAATTTTTTTTGAATTATTTCCACAACCCTATGTTCACCCCCATAAATATACACAAGTTTTGGCGCATTTTTCCCCCTTTTTCTTTGCAGACTGAAAATCACCAAGCTAAAGCCAAACAAATTTGAAATTTCTTGTTCAATAATTTCACTCTTGGCAACCGACAGTCAACAACTTGTGTATTAGTTTCGTTGTTATTGTAATTTATGACAAGTGTCTCCTAGTTTGTTGTAACTAACACCCGTACAGTACTTACATTTGGAGCCGAAATAAAAATATTTCGCGCTATGTATTTCGTATTTTCGGATTATCGGCGAAGACGCCGAATAGTTGCTGCCTCGCTTTTGGCCTTACCCACGTTTCTTGCGTTTTCTTTTGCGTTTTTTATTTTATTTTTATTTATATTTCTTCTTTATTTTTTTTTTTTAGATATGTATATACCATAGGTACATGTTATGTTTTAGTGCTTTTCCAATTTCTTATTCACTTCATGTCCGCGCCCGCACACAGTCACACACGCACAACAGTAGCAGTAAGAGTAGCAGTAGGGCTCGTCCCGCTTACGGAGTACGCACTGTGTGTGCGCCGAGCTTGTTATTGGCCGATTTGAGCCGATTTTTCAGACGATTTTAGCCGCGATTTTCAGCCGCGCCGTCAACGTTGAGCGCTCGAAATCTCGTTACTAACTAAAATAAACGAAGCGCGGGTCCGACACAAAAAATCGACATCAGAGCTGCGATGTTTGCCTTTTGTTGTTGTTGGTAACCAAGCTCTCTCGCACACACACACACTCTTCGCCTGCATGCACACCCCAGCTTCGAACGGCGGCAAGTTCAAGTCGCAATGTTAGGCTTGAGCGGCGATGGCAGATCGGCGATATAGCGGCGGGTTTTTAAGAAAGTTTATAAATTTTAGGGGGTATAGTAAGATATAGTAATTATTTTTATATAATTAAAAAAAGGTGGTTTGATTATTTAGAAATAAAATAATTGTAGTACGGGTTTCTGCAATCTCAGATTAGGAGCTAAAGGCCCACAATGTCTGGAAAAACACCATTTATTAATTACAATTGTATAAAATTGTAGATGCCTCTTGTCTGCTAATAAATCAAATCATTTCTTAATGCTTAGAACCTTCTAAACAGTCAAAGGATAAGCTTTATAATTAATTTAAAAATTATTTCTGCTTTTAACACACACATGAGCCAAGGCACAACGTCTGACGTACCTTAGAAGAACTAGAACTTTAAAAGAACTGCACAAAAAACAATAATGTATCGTTTCAGCAGTGAAATAAAAGCCTTTAAATCAAGTATTATATTTCTGGAATTTTAAAATTTTTTTTTAAATTATGATTAATAAAATATGCTTGGCTAATTTAACGCCAATTAGCGCAACACTGAGCTTGAGCCGGGTACGTCGGCGCCCGATAAAAGTTCGAATCGAACTTAAGCAGCTCAAGATCGAAGGCAAAAGTAGTGAGCCGGCAAAAAGAATTAAGTTTGCTGTTGCCAAATTATTGGCAACATGTTGCTTCCTATTAGCTGGATCATTTATAAATCCTATTTAATAAATGTACACATAACTTCCTTTTTTTATTTTAATATTTAGCTTACCGTTTTATAAAAATAACTTTCAGGGCCATATTAAATTTTTAAGCAGATTGATTTTGGCATATTTCAAAGGAATATTTCGACAAGTCCTTGGCCAGAATATTAAAAATTCCAGCTTCCCCGCTGGCTTTCGACTTTGCACCTTGGTGGATTTTATAGACCATTTTTTTTGTGGTTTTTGTGTTTTTTTTTTCTTCAGTTTTTGTTGCCAACGGCAAAGTGAAGCTGTGCCGATGACGTCTGTGTCGATTTTTCCCGAACTCGTTTGCTTACTCACACACTGGGAATTATGTCAGGAATGTTGGTGGGACCCGCCCGGGCCATCCAAATGTCCGAACATCCAAACGGTGGTTGTTGTGGCCGTCTGAGATTGCCCGAAAGTCGGTTGATTAATTTCGGAATCGAGAGTGTATGCACGCCGAGAAAATTAGCAGCTAATTTTAAATAAATATTTAAGATTTTACATGGGGAATTTATTATTTGGCTGCTTGCCTGAGTTAAGATCAGGTCAAATCAGGTTAATGAATTAATAAATATATACTTTCATGTATTAACTTATTACTCAAAGCCCTTTATGGTGAATAATAAAGCGTTTCGCTTTTTCTGCTAATACATTTTAAACGTTTTGAAAGGTTTTTATTGCGTCAAAAAAAAAGGTAAATAAAATATATTGAAATGCACTAAGCTTTATGGAAATTCCTTCCTAAATCACAGACATTACAACTTCCTGTCATGGAATTCTAATTAATTTGTAGCCCTAATAAATAATATCATTTTGTTCAAGTGTAGCATGCAGTATGTTTGGAGCAGAGCGGGCCAAAAAGCCGGTTAACATATTATAGTAACATTTTTGGTCACTCGGAAGGCGCGTGCCAAAGACTCTCTGCTTTCAAAGTTCATCCACATCCGAGGGAGAACTGCATTCCATTGGCTTAATCAGGGCTTATCCCGCTCAATTAACCCCTGGCTGACTCACGTTTCCTGGGGCCACAAGATCAGGTGATTCCGCCGCATTAAAAAAAAACCCAATAAGCCATTGGCACCAGTTTACGACAATTTCTGCAGAGTCTGATAATCGCTTTTTTGGTTTGCTAAAAGCCAAGTCAAGACTTTTTACTTTAATGCCTCGGTCAGCATGTCCACTTACCTTATCACTTGTACCGATTTCAAAGGAAAGAAATAAGCAATCCACAGCAAAAATATATTTTTATTCTTATTTCGCCACGCGACTTTATCAATTTCCCCGAATTTGCATTTGACTAATCCGGAGACCATTAATGCAAGGCAGCAAAAGGTCATTGAAACGTTGAAAGTTTATTTAATTTCACGTGTCTTCGAAAAGAATATGAATATATATAACATTTAAATATTAAAATATTCAAATAAAATATTTTAAATTTCCACAAAAACCTTTAGAGATACTAAGCTTAAGTGAAACCTAAACAAATTTTTACCAAAATATCTTCATTAAACCATTTCTGATTTCGATTTCCTTGGCAATATCTTCAGTTTCCTGAGTATCTGCCATTGACATATGTCAAAATCTGAAATATGAGCGCAGGTCGAGTTGATTGAAAGAGATACGCGTGCTCTATCCAAGAAAAAAGTAAGAAAAAATGCGGGAAAAATGTCAATCAGAAGTCAAACCGCGACTACTCACTGCAGTAGAAATTTCCGTTAAAAAAAGTACAAAAAACAAGGGGTATTCTAAATGAAACTTGGAAAACCCAAGCATTACCTCGGCTAAAATAATACTCTTGAAATCTTAAAAATCTCCAAGGCATGTCCCAGGAAGAATTTAATTTGTAAAGTAATTTACCCAAGATTTATTTTGAAATTTAAGCTCCAAAGACCGCAACTCCAGCCAAAATAGGTCTTGTAAACACAAGTGTTATGTATTTTTCCCCATGAAAAATACAAATATTTTGTTAAAATCTCTAGAGTTTCCCCCGTAGAAGCTGCCCCATATAAGTTTCAGCGTTTTGGCCATATAAACAAATAAACACGAATATAAAAGGCAAAAACAAATATGGCATTTTGATGGACAATTCTCCATCCATATGGCGCGAATACCCGCACACCCTGCAAAAGTATATACACAACGAACAAGTCAAACAGAAGCCCGCCGAGCACTTACAATTCAATTTCAGCATTGAAATCAGATACTCCCGAGAGGAAAGGAGGGAGGAAGGAGAGCCGCCAGCCAGGTGGGTTAGGTGGTTGGGTGAACCCCTTCGGTCGGAGTCAGACTGTTGTAGATGTTTAGGATTTCGCACAAGGTACAAATCTGTTAACGCTTTGAAACCGCAGACAGCCACCGGAATGTTGGCGCAGCCACAGAGCCGTATCTCTAGTTCCGAGATGCACAGGGGCCTGAGATAAGGAGTTACTCTAAGTAATTAATAATAACTGGAAAAACATTAAGGTTTGTTTTCTTGTTTTCATAAATAGTGAAGGGTTCTTATTGTATTGTTTTTATTTTCCTAGAATTTAGATTTAGAATTTAGGTATAAGTAATGGCGATATTGTGATCGTTAATAATTATACATTAACGTTTTAATCGGATATAATAGTACATTTTTACTGTATTAAAATTATATATTAATTTAAACATTTTCTGAGTTCTTAAAACCACTGTTATTACCGCTTTGTTCCGAACAAAATAGCTTTATGCCAAGTCCGGAAGGTAAAACTATAAGATTTAATTTTTTTTGTCAAGTTTGGCATTGTCTAGCTGATATTATTCCCATTTTTTGTAGAATAGAATAAGCCGCGGAAAGGAAAATCTGAGAAACTATGTGAAAGGGAAATGAGTATTTATTTAATAAATTGCATTTTCTGCACAATTTGCCAATAGGAATCAATTGGCTTCCGTTTGCGTTCCATTTTCCCATTCAGCCAATTTAAGCCGCTTAGCCCTGGAAATTGCATTTGCTCCAACCCTTCTTTGATTAACAGACTGGATGGATTTCGGATTCATTTATTTGAAATATATTTTAACATTTAGATTTTGATTTTGATTTCTGATTTGATTTGTACAGTAGAATTAATAATAAAATTGAATTGATTTAAATATTCTTCATATGTATAAGTAATGAACAAAGCGACAATATTTAATAGCATTTAAATATGGAAGAAATAAAAGTTAAATGTCTTGGTATTTTTCAGTTACTGGGATTAAGTATTCCCAGTTCCTTGTATTTTGATTAGTGCTAAGGATATTAAACCCTTTACGGCTGCGAGGCCATTCGGATCCTGGCGGTGGCCCTCGACTTTGTGTGTATCTCAGCCGTTCGCAGCGTGATGCCGAAGATGTCCTCGTGGTAGCGGCTCTCGTCCTAACAAGAAAAAATATATATATAGCAAAAAAAAGGGCAACACAAAGTATGTAGATTTGCTGACATCAAATGTGTTTACATTGTTTTGCAACAAACTCGCTCATACGCCGAGTGTGGCATCGGGGAGGAAGCCCTTCGTCACTATCGGTATTTATGGCCCCAGCTTCTCTATAAACCGCTAAGGACACTTACCCGCAATGTTAGCAAAAATGTCTCAACTTCCGCCTCGGTTTTCTGCTCCTTGCCGGCAATGCACTTCCTGTCAAGGAGCAAAAAAAGTGAGCATAAGTATAGAAAGAAAATGTGCTGGGAAAATACAGAAAAGCTAAGAAAAACAGTTTATTTATTCGATGTCCTGAGATATTTATAGTAATCTGTGGGATGATAAAAATCACTTGCTTAAGATTTAAAGGAATCTTTGGAGAATATTAAAAGTAGTTGAACTAGAGGACGTTTTCTGGCTTACGTAAGGGTAAATATTAAGTGACTTAAAGTACTCTTGAATCACGATATAAGTGCTATAAATAAATAAGCATATCAACTCTTAAGCCTTTGTTCTACCTCATAATTACTAGAATATAAAGTAAGAAAAATTATCACCTGTAATTAGCAAACAGCTGAGACACTGGGCCTGGTCATCTGCCTTGGTTTCAATTAAACTAAACCGCTTATGATTACGAGCTACGAGTCGTTCCCCATTGAAATCCCCCCCTCAAGG